TTTCTTTTAGACACACATTTAAATTATTATATTACCAGGTAAACTTGCACATAACTTCATTTACATTTTGGGGCACATCGTTGTTCCATCGTCAGGTCTATTAATAAGAATAAAAGCCCATCTCACAAAACATATCCGCAATAAAATGTGCAACTCAATTGTTTAGGTTTATTTAGTCAAAAAACAGTAAAAACTATTTGAAGTATGGGGAAGAAGATCGTCTGCGCACGTTTTCAAGAATTTCAGAATCCCTTCCCGTCATTTTAACTATAAATAGTTGAAAGATGAGTAAAAGTTAAAGATTAATAAATGAAAATAATATTTAAAAAAGGGTGAGATTAACATTTGTAAACCTAGACATTTTCGTTCCCGACTAATAAAAACATTTGCAATGGTAAACGAACTGCAAAGAAGAGTACAACAAAACGTGCGCATAGTGAAGCTACATTTATGTCCAGAAGCAAAACAAGAGGCCATTTCAGCATTTGCTCAATGGATCAGGGAAACTGGAAAAAGACCTGATCGAGACGGGAGTCATTGACCCGGAAGCTGAAGTACCTTATTTGTTACAAACATATTAAGCCTTTTTAAAACGTTTATACAATACAAACGTGAACTAATTCAATATATATATATATATATATATATATATATATATATATATATATATATATATATATATATATATATATATCGATATATAATCAGTTTTGTTAAAATAAACATTATTTTTCTTTTTGATAATCAGTATAGTCTCTAATTATATAGAAACAGTTATGCAGAAGAAAATATTCTACTTGTAACTTAAATTTGTGAACTGACTTCAATTGTTTAATGTCATCTGGAAATGTACATGTATTTGAATTTCTGATAGGGAGCTGTTGATACTGATACTTGATGAACTTGATTTTTACGTTCGATGAATTAGTATTGCATGAAAATATGTTCCCACCGCTGAATAAGTCACTTTTGACAAATATTACAGACTCGTAAATATACAGGCAAGGCAGTGGTAACTTTCCAAGCGCAATGAAGAAAGGCTTTCAGGGATCACACATATGGCATTTTTTCATTATTTGAATAATTTTCTTTAACAATCTAATTCTGAGTACTACATGATAAGTTTCCCTAGATTATTATGTCATATCTCAGGCGGGAATGTACATTTGCAAAGTACACGCAACGAGCTGCATTAAGGCTGACAGAATTTGAATGAATTCGTAACATAATGAACTTAATTTAGCGTTTAATTTTGTTTTATATACATTCCATTTGAGGTTTGACTGAATTGAGAGACCAAGAAATTTTGTTACCTGAACTTTGTTACCTGAATTTTGTTAATTGCATATTGTTCATTTTCAATGAAGCATGTAATTGTAGATTTGAAATGCAAAAATGCATTGAAACTTATTTTCCTTCGTTAACGACATATGTTATTACAAAATCAATTGGAAACTTCTGAAATCGTATTATTTATTTTTTATTTTTGCAAAGAACATTCGTGTCATCGGCAAACAGAACCGTTCTTCCGTTTTTAATAGTCGAGGTCTTATCGTTTACATATAACAGAAAGAGGATAGGACCTAAGATCGAGCCTTGCGGGACTCAATATTCAATTGATATAGAATTGGAAAGATATGTAAATAATGTACCTTCATGCCAGTACGGTATTTTTACTCTTTGAGATCGATGTTTAAGGTACAAGGTTATCCAATCTACAGCGATACCACGAATTCCATAAGAAGGTAATTTTGATGGCAAGATGTTATGGTCAATAACGTCAAAAGCTTTCAAAAGATCTAAAAATTCCAATAGGTGCTTCATTTTGGTCAACTGATGAAGCAACATCATTAAGAAATGAAAAAATGGCAGTTTCCGTAGATTTTGATTTTCTAAACATATGTTGTGAGTCTGAAAACGCTTCGTGTTTCCTGAGAAAAGTTCCCATTCGCGTATATATTTTTGAGAAACCTGACAAAAAGAAATTGGTCGGCAATTTTAAATTTCATTTTTGCTCCCTTTTTTAAAAGTGGCTTAATTTTTGCTGTTCTGAAAATATCTGGAAATATTCCTGTGCATAAAGAAGCATTGAAAATGTGAGTTAACGGGTGTATAAAGGCATATACACAAGTTTTCAATAAACAATCCGGAAATTCATCTAAACCAGATGAATATTTATTTTTTAGTTTACTGACTATTCTTAAGGATTTGTTAGAAGAGGTTCCGAAAAAAAAGTCGTGACGAAACTTTTTTTGGAAGGTAATGATGTTGAATTTTGTGGTTTTAGCCCCTTCATGAGTTCAGCCACAATTCTAGAAAAGTGTTGGTGGACGAGATTTGTCACTTTTTCCGGATTACTGGCTTCTCTTTCATTATCCTTTAAAACAACATTACTAAGTAACGAGATGATGTGGACATATTTTTTACGATATTCTACATTGCTTTTGTTTTGTAACTAGCGTTCAAAATATCCTGATTATTTTTGCCTGACCTCTTACTTTCCTTAAAATTCTTATGTATTCTCGGAAGTATACATGAAACCGGGTGATATATTATGTTTAGAAATAAAGTAAAGCGTACGTTCGTTCTTACACGATGTTCTAATGCCTTGTGTGATCCAAGTATTATTTTTCTGTGAAATATTAAATTTTCTCTTTTTGAGAGGGAAGCATGTGTGTTAAAGTGAAATTAAAGTTTTGAGAAAAATATATCATATATTTCATTTGTGACAACAGCGTTATAAACTGTGTCGTATAATTCCTTCAGCAAGTAGTCCGTAAATAATTTTATGTTAACTTTAGTGAATCTTCTGCACATACGTGTATAATTGTGTCAGTGTTGTGTGTATAATTCGTGCACATGCGTGTATAATTTGTTCGTGGTAATACAGTAGTTAATTATATGTAACTAATGTAAGTTTTAACAATATTTATTTAATAAACGGCAACAGTAATACATTTCTTGTTTCGGTAAATGGGTATTTTATTACCGATTTGGTTTTATTTGATTGTATTCGTTCATACTCTTTATATCTTACTCGATTGCTGTATAACTCTGATTCCGTTTTTAACAATATTTAATAAACAGCAACAGTAATAAATTTCCTTTTGGGGTAAAAATTACTAAGAAATGTGTATTTAATTATCTATTTGATATTATTTGATTGTGACTTTTCATACTATTATCATACTCTAATATCTGGCATTATTGCATAACACTGGTTCCGTTTTAACAATATTTATTTACTACACGGTTACAAAAATAAATTTCATTTTGTGGTAATAAATTATTAATTAAGGAGTACTAAATATTCATATTAGTTTGAATCGATTGTGCCCATTTTTTAAATTTGGTTGTGCCAGCTGACAGTCACACCAACACAACATTTATTTAATAAACTGCAACAGTAATGAATTTCATTTTTGGGTAATAAATGAGTGTTAAATATTCATATTAGTTTGATTTGCTTGTGCCCATTTTTTAAAATCTTGGTTTACCAATTTGACTGTTAAGCCAGCACATCTGTATTTATTTCGTCAACGACATCAGAAATAAATTTAATTTTGTGGTAATAAATGGGTACTAAATACTGCTTGACACACACAACGTGTTAGAGAAAGTTTATTATATATGGGGAAATTTATTATTCAGGTTTTTGCTACCATGCCTCGCAATAAGAGTTTTTCTGTCAAAAACCGCCGTTTTCTGGCTCGTGATTACAATACTTCTTGTTCTTACGATAAAAGGGCGAAGAGATAAAAGTAGTGGACCTGCGGTTGAGGGCACGTGGAAGGTCTCCATTGTTGCTTTAAATAAATAATTATTATAAAAAAGGTACTGGCAAAAGGGTTGAGGTAGCAAATACGGGTATCTCAAAGAAGTTTTTTCGGGACGACAGCCTACGACTCGTAAAAACGTGACGACCCCGTGTTTTACGTGACGTATACGATCTCACACAAATTTACTTTGTAGTTATCTGCTATTATGCCGTGCAGGTTTGCTCGCATTAGCAACTAGAATTTGTTACAAATCTTGCTTCAAGCATCTCTATTATTAATAATTTGAGTACTCCACCTCTTTTTGTTGGCATCCTGTAATGCAATTTTTGTTAACATTCCTGCCACAATTCCCGTTTCATAATTTTCAGGAGATATCTGAAATAATACTACCTTACAACGAAATTTCTATAGCGTTTTATTGTTTTTATGTTTAATTATAATCTTTAATTATTTTTTTATATTTTGACACAAAATAAGTATAGTTTCATTGGTCGAGAGCCAAATGAAATAGCCATCTATGTCACTACGAATGTATTTTAGTGCAGCTCAATGAACAGAAACCAAATATTTTTTCATCGTGTTGATTCTGATAGTGTCATATGATTATGGTACTTTTCTAATAAAGATTTAAACTTATTTATCAATAGCGTACCATTCTATTTTTGGCTTGTGGAATATTCAGCCAAAAGCAACTGTCGACAGTTCTTAACCTGTATGATTTTTTGGTATTAAGGACCCCCAAAATTTGCAACTTTTTCTCTACCACTGCTTGACAGTAAGAGTTTTTCTGTCGAAAAATCGCCCGTTTTCCGGCGCACGATTACAATACTTTCTCTTCTTACAAAGAGCGGTGAGAGTGTTTCGTCAAACATTCTTATGGAATGGAAGAGATTAATTCTAGTAATATAGAAAAATTAATAAAAAATAGCCGAAATTGTGCCTGACAAAACAATCTTGTTCCATTGAAATTAAAATTATTCTGTTGAAATTGGTTAAGCCGTCCCGAGATGAAGCGGACAAACTCATTGTAAAAATAAATACATGGTTTTTATACCATGTAAATAACTAATGACCCGAGAAAATCGCAGATATTTTGAAATCGTAGACATTCAAATTTTTTGAATATATATTAATGCAAAAGCCTTTTCTTTATTCTCTTACTGACGTTGAAGAATGTAGTCTGTCTTCTGGATGCAGTTAGTGTGAGATTTGGTTACTTACAGCAGGCTCCGAGGGCAGCAATAGTCCCCGCAGCAAAAGTGGTCAAGACTGCAATTGTGGGTTTTGCCGAATCTACCATTTAGGCATATTTCTGCAAGACAAAATAAATATTATTTATTTTCTCATTTCGAAATATGAAAAATTGTTTAAATTAAAAAGACTACACTAGGACAACGTAAGCAATTAGCACGTTGTATGTTTCTTGTCATGTGTTCAAGAAAGGAATTACATGACAACGAAAGAAATACAGTCCAATATGTCACTCAGAGTTCCACGGAAATTGGTCGTTAAAAGGGGTGGACTAAACGTCCACCCAATGTTTATGAAGTTTCGGGAAGCATTGGCTACATTAGTTCGAAATCTTACCGCTTCATCAAGATGGTCGTTTGCGCAGCTTTCCTTGAATGTCGCGTACGAAACAAAACCAACAAATTCCACACATCTCGACATTTCGCGAGAAACCAATTGGGAGTTTGGAGCTCGTCCCGGCTGGCCGCTGAGGCGATGCTCATCTGGCGGAGACACCTGCAGGGGAAACCACCACCACTACCACCTCTCCAGACTCATGCACTACACTTGTGGGACTCACGACCACAGAAGTTTTTGCTTCCGGACGCAGTACAATGAATCAATAACATACAATTAATCTGTATGGAATAAAACACTGACCAAAGAAACTGAATTTGTTGAAAATGACACGGAAATTTCTAATGGAAAATTAAATTTACAAGTATTTTTAAAATTTTGTATTTTTAAAATTATATATTTTATATTTAAACAATCCTCATTAGACACTCTTATATTGAGTAGGGCGTCACTGCCAGAAAAAGGGAAAGATTAACATTCTGCCGCAATTTCCTTGCGAGACATTTTCCTCTTGATCAGGATGAATTTGGCCGTGTTATCATGTGATTAAAAATGATTGAGTAATCACGTGAGTGCGATGTGTTTAGTCAGAATGAATCAGCGAAATGTTTCTCTTGGAATTAAAAAGGAACTGCACTGAAGGAACATTGTTCAGAAAATTCCCGGAATTAAAAGCTTTTACGCTGTCCAGGGTGCGCAAGTGTACAACGATAGCATTGTATTTACTTGTTAGCGAGACATACGAACAAGACCATTCTCTCGTAGGATAATCTGCTCAACTCAAATATGATGAACTCAAACATTCCAATATCTTGAGTGGCTTTGGGAATATACAAGGAAACAAGTATTCATATTTCTTGAAGTCCCTTAAGCTCAGAAAATGAAATTGTGACGAATGAATTCAATTTACTAGTTCACCAATGTAAATTAAATGCCATTATGGGTTCTGAAAACAAGGCGCGTTTTATGCTAACGTCCTGGAATAAAGAAACAGACAAATATTAATAGGGGGTGGATTTTTATGCCCTAAAAATTTGAAATATGCTTTAAAAAAGCATTCATGACCTAAAAATTCTGAAATATGCACTTTAATATACAATTAAAAATAACTTTAATTTCCTCTATAAATATTTCTTGATAAAATTCAGGAGAAACGTGCTTGGAATGAATTTTTTTTTGTGCAAACATTACAATCTACCTTACTTTGCCAGAGAAATAACTGAAGTAAGTGGTCACCTTAGTGAAGAACACTGTATGTCTTGTTGTATTTCTTCTGACCGATTAAAAAATATGTTATGAAGAAATGTCCAACATTTACATAAGTATTTTATCATATAAAGAAAATTTTTTAAAACGGAAACCATGAGAATCGCTTTGAAATCCATGAACGTTCACAAATAAATAGATTCAATAAATATATGAAACGTTTTATAAATAAATGACTATTTAAACGAAATATACGCCTTTAATTACACGAATAAGCACCAAGAGGACAGATCGACCAAAGATACACAATCAGATTAATCTATATAGCATCATATTCTAACCAAAGGTCAAGAAATTTCACTTAGCTACACACTGAAACAACGGACAAAATATTCAAAATCATAAAAATCGCTCCCTACTTATTATCTGGTTAATGGTTACACATAAACAACACACCTTCTTGTAATCACAATGTAGATTTCAGACGAGGAATTTGTGCACACTGCCCCTGACGCCGCCGAGAAATGACTACACTGAATGCTGTAGAAAGTCAAAAACGGCTTGCACGGTGATTAACGCCAGCGCATAAACCGTTCAGATGATTTTCTCCAAAATTCAAACGATCTGGCCGGACTCGACGCCTTGTGAGTGACAAACTGATATTTTGATTTTGGGGATCCTGTAGTCATAAAACTTTAAAAAATTTCCCAAAAAGTCTCTAAATATGTTGATTAAACCTTTTCCTGAAATGGATCAAAAGGCGTCCAAAAAAGTGGTGTAGCTCTCAATTTCGTTGAATTCTGTGTTAGGTATCGACACGCGTTGTTTAACATTCCTCCAACAGCATCCTCTGAAAATTGTACCAATCAGCAGTTCTCACAAGTCGGTACGTTGTTAAAATCTGATTTCTAATACTAAGAATTTCAAGAAATGTATTATTTGTCACCAGTCTTAGGAGTCATTTTTACATTTCCTCCAAATCTTCGCGTGCTTGCGTACATCTAAGGCTTTCCCGGGGGAGCGCGCGCTCGCGAGAGTACAATATCAAGACACCGCCCAGGAATTTCGATGAAGCCCTGAGTGTCTTGATCGGGGTATGTTTGAAATGCATGATCTTAGCTCTTAATTTACGCCAAGGGGAGACAATAATTGTTTTATTGGAGGCTAGGCTCCAATTTGAAAGAATATAGGCGCAGGACCGATTTTGTTCCACCCTCTTTCCGGATGCCATCTATCGCCGCCCAAAATACATTTAAAAAAATGCTTTTCTCTGTTGGCAGAACTGAAACATAATTTTAACATCATTATAGAAAACTAAAACCTCGTCCCATATGGAATTTGTTTGGATAATTTGACACTCATATCAATTGAGAAAGAAAAGCTTACAGAAATACGAAATTTATCATATTTTATGATGATTCACTGAAGAATTTGCCAAACAAGAGATGAGAAGGGAGTTTATTTTTATAAATCAGATATTATTACTTGTTTACTTTCAACATCATTTATCCAGCAAATATGTCGTAATAACTAATATTTATTGTTCCTTATGCATTACAGCAAATATTTTTATAACTGCGTATGTACGTCTTCATTGCCATTATATTTCTGTTGCCATTTTATTGCGGCTCAATTGCGAGTGGTACGCAGGAAATCGTAAACATTACCACCTTTGTTCTCAATTTTTCATCTGTATTACTTTTCGTTTTGTCTCCTGACAGTAGAGGCTTAACTTAGTGAGAAGAGGGGGCACTTGTCTCCAAATAATAATAATAATAATAATAATAATAATAATAATAATAATAATAATAATAATAATA